AAAGCCGTCATGGAGTCTTGCATGTTAACAGGCGCGATGAACTTCTGTCCCATGTTGCGTCGTGAGGTAAGGACATTGGCGCGAGATTTATGACGAAGAGCTTGACGCGTCAATTTCTTCCTCGAAACGTGAAGATTGGACTGCTTTGACGTAGAGTCAAATCAGGTGTTCTGTTTTGGATTCATGAATGCCAGTCCTGAAAAACAGTATGACCCATGAGTGATTGCAGTATTTCAGGATGTATCCCATTCAACGATTGCTCGCAGACTACAACGCATCGGAATGGCTGTTGATCGATAGTGATCCGGCGACGATTACCGTCACTTGATAGACGACGGAGAGTCGGGAGCAACCGTCTTGGTGATACTGATAGGGGAAGCAGTCAAGCAGCACATAAATACCATGTCGTAAGATGAATGAGAACCTGGGGTTGGAGTGACAGAGTCTGAGCGACGAGCGTACATACCTATCCGATGAGGAGCTTTCGGGGACCAGAAGGGCCACCCCCCGTGCTGAGTTGTTCTAGCTCACTAGGATTACATCCAGTATCCATGGAAAGTTGAGGTACCGTTTGGCAGTCCATTATATCATAAGAAAAAATATGTAAATCCGGATATTCAGAATAAGGTTGATAAACCTTAATCCAATTATCAAAAAGCTAGACAATCCTCTGCTTTTTACTATGGAGGCACTGACGTGCCACAATAGCCAAAAAAAATCAAAATTATAAAAATGAAAATGCAATAAAAAAATAAGGAATCCAACCGCCAAGTTGGCCAATCCAACGGCCAAGTTGGCCATACACATGGGGCTACAGGCAAATACAGAAAAGGAGCCACACATCTGGGAAGTTCCAGGGTCCTCCACCCCCTTCTAACAGATCCTGCAACAGAACTTGGTGAATAACACCCGCTACATACTTGGAGGTCATCCAGACCAACCAACCTCACACTAACCCGAACCACTGCCCGCCCACCCCAAGCACCTCTCCCACCATGGCCAACAACTCACTCAGCAACCGCAACCAGACAATGCGTGCATTTGGTGATGATTTCCAACCAGAAGTCACACACCTAGTCAACACTGGAAGGACGGATAGTCAAATCCGAGAACATATCAAAGCGACATACGATATATCAGTCTCCCAACGAACATTAACTCGCAGGAAGGAAGACTGGGGGCTAATTCTTCAAGCCGCTGATTACGCAGCCCAGCTCGAAGATCACATCATCACTTACTTTGAACGGGGATTGACTTACTCCCAAATTCACCATGCTTTATCCACCAGCCACGGCTACGTCCAATCAAAAAGAACACTAGAACGCAAAATCAAATCGATGAACCTCACCCGCAGAACTGACGATTTGGACAACGAAAAGATCGACATTGACACAGTTGTGTCATGCATTGAAGAGATACACCAAACTCCTGAAGGCCGCAATGCTGGATACCGGAAGATGAGACAGCTGCTCCAAACTAAATATGGCCTGCACATCCACACGTAAGTTGATCATTTGAAATTTCCCACTCATGACAGGTAATAAATGTTAATTAAACTTTTCATACAATGAAGACTCACAGTGGCCATGATAAACCGCACCCTTGACCCAGACGGTGTTCAAAATCGAGCGAAACGGGTGTTGAAACGCCGTGTCTTCAAAACCCCCGGACCCAACTTCATATGGTCGGCCGACGGACACGACAAGCTCAAGAAGTTTGGGATAACCATCTATGGGTTCATCGATGCCTGGAGCCGGAAAATCTTGGGGCTATTTGTGCATGTGACCAACAACGACCCTCGTCACATTGGATACTACTACCTCCAGCTGGTCAAACAAGAAGGTGGGATCCCACGACGTACCACAACCGACAAGGGCACCGAAACCATCCAAATGGCAGGCCACCAAATCAACCTCACCGAGGAATTCAACCTCGAGTGCGCAGACCCCAGCCAGTCACACCTCTTTACCAAGAGCGCTCACAATCAGAAGATTGAGTGTCTCTGGTCTCAGATGATGAAGCAATACAACTGTCAGTTAATCAACCACCTGTTCGAAGCCATCGAGAAGGATTGCTATGATCCAAATGACCCGGTTGAGTAGTAAGTTTCCTTGTGTCCTTCCTATCTTCCTGATTATGTCTCGGAATTCTGATTGACACCTTTGGTACATGGCCAGTCACCTCTTCATATACTTGTGGGTGCCGCTGCTTCAGGAAGGGCTGGATGACTGGACAAGCAACTATAACAACTACAAACGTCGATGGGACCCCAAAAGCATGCTTCCCACCCGGTGTAGTGCTGAATGGTGCTACAAATATCCAACAGAAGTCGGTGGGGAGCAAGGTCTTATTCCGGTGCCGCCAGAAGCTGTCGAAGCCCTTGAAGAAGAATTTTATCCGGAGGCTGCCGAGATGATGGATACGTCACCCAAATGGTTCTCAGAATCTATCAAGGAGCTGGAGGTTGGGATGGATCTGTCAATTCCTGCGGTCGACATCCACAACGTTTGGGATACATTCTCACTACTTCTCCAATCCATCCGAGACTATGATTCCGCCTGGTTGGCTGACCCCTCAAATGAGCCAACAGAAACCTTTGCCTTCCGTGCTTCCTGAGATCTTATCCATTGTTTCTTATTGTTGTCCACCTGGAATGCAGCCTGGTTGTATCTATTAACACGTTATTGGATAAATAATATCTTAGATTTTTACTCAGGTCGATTACCATGTGAGTCATAGTTCATGATGTTTGCCTCCTTGTGTTACAGGGGGATTTTCACTGCGGGCATCATTTGGAAAATGAAGGCGTCATCGACCAAGAAACATGTCTTGGGTGATGAAGCCGTGATCACCCAAGCATATCGTGCCCTGGGCGATGAAGGCTTCATCGACCAAGGAACATGCTTTGGGTGATGAAGCCCTCATCACCATCTTGCCTTGGGTGATGAAGGCTTCATCAACCGATTGACGCTTTGGGTGATGAAGCCTTCATCACCCAAGGATAATTTGCCACCCAACCTTATATGATATCCTTGGTCGATGAAGCCTTCATTGCCCAAGAAAAGCCTGTGTATGTATGGGAGATGAACAGTGTTGTTTAAGTTCATGCATCTCTGCAAGGTGAGGTCATCATCCCTTAAGTTCATGCATCTCTGCAAGGTGAGGTCATCATCCCCCAATCTCACTTACACCGGGATAGTTTGTCATGTTCCCTCAGCTACAATCTTGACAAGAACCAACTAAAACGAACACATTTCAAATATCGACTCACGAACAACATACGGGATCTCAAATGGCCGACCTTCAAGGTAAGAAAAGAGTCCCATTAATCACTCAAGGGGCCTGAATGATTGAAACATATGCCTCTTTCAGAAGGAAAGATTGTCGAGCGCCTGACCGAGCTCATGAAATTGGACGGGATGGCTGGTAGCCACATCCGGGTCCTGTCAAACTTGCGGTCTTTCTATGTGGCTAAGTATATCACCAGATTCCGGGAGGTGCATCGTCTGTTTCCTCTGCCTAACTGGATCTACCTGCTGGCGGACCCTGGGGACCGGAGGCCACACGACACCGAAGTGTTTGAGTTTGACGGTCCAGGTCTAGGCGATGATGCCACCTTTCCCGCCCATCGACAACAGGGAAACTGCATGGCACATGAGCATGAAGCCATGGACGGTGAGTGATCTGACAATTTTTGGGTGAATTTTGGTGGTTAATGATGCATCAATGTTTGCCTGTCCAGAAGATGTGGCTTCCCAAGGCCCTGATTCAACCCAAGACGAAATCCATCATGATCAAGAGATGGATTTAACTTCCAATGATGCACTAGGCGAGGTTGATCCCGAGATCATCAGTGTTGTTGACAATGGTCCTGTTGGCGAATCAGGAAATACCAAGGGTGCCATGGATGGGCTAAGGACATCACGCTTGAATAACGTGGGGGCCAACATGGATAAACCGCTGTTCATTCCAGAGTCTAATCCGCCTTCAGAGGACAACACACCACTCCGGTCTCCTACCTCTCACCTTTGAAGATCGAGCATGAGCCCGCCAAATTTGTCTTTGTCTTTGTCTTCCCCCCACACGGCACCTGGCGACCCTAGACCCTCACCAGATGCAAGCACACTTGGTATCCTTGGCCAAAAGCGATCCTGCAGCCAATCAAAGACAGGTGATTCCACTCGTAACAACCGGCCCCGTTTAGATTCATCAAGCCTAGCCTCATCAGATTCCAAGGATTTATCCTCTGCGTCTGAAGAGGGAGAGACTGATCTTCCGAAGCCCACCTTTGGTCGCATCCGTCAACCTAGGGATAAAACCCCGCCTGAGGGTGATGATGAGGATTCCTCCGGGTCCAATCCACTGGGTTCATCCCCGAATACCCTGGCTGAGAACACGCCCCACCCCTCTGCAGCTCCAACCGCACCTGTGCCATCCGGGTCAACCAGCAGCAACCCAGCCGTCGCATTGTCTAACCCTGGGGCGGTGTCCACCGGTTCAACACCACCTGTGCCATCCCGGACAACTAGCCGCAGCAAGGACTTCTCTGATTGTACCTCAGGAAATATGTCAACCAGTCTAACTGCTGGCGCTCCAATTGACGGACCAGCTGGAACCGGTACTATTCTTGGGGGGGTGGGACCAGGACTGACTGCTAGCACAACGTCAACGGGGCCGTCCGGCACAGGTGCCAAAGGTCCAACTGGGGCCACGGCTGTCACTGGGCCATCTGGGGGCCCTGTGGCCCCTGGTCCGAATCAACGAGCCTCCTCGACGGGTGGATCACCTGTGACAGCGGGCAGAGGTACAACTTCCGGAACCGCGGGCGCTGGTCCCACCGCCGGGGGAGTGGTCGCAGGTCCCACACACCGGCAGGTGGCCTTGCGTGAGGCATCACCAGGTGGGTTAGGCCGTTCTGCACGTCGACACAGGATGAGACTAACGATTTCTTTGCATGGCCAGAACTCTTTGTACGGCTACCTTTTGGGGATCTCAAGTCACTTGAATACTGGGAGCAACACAAAGAGAATAGGGTTCACCCAGGTAAAACAGCTAGATTCCTTGAGAAAACACAGTGTATAATCGGGCTCTTGCCAAGTCTCCTAGGTTGCAAAAAACCTGCAAGGCCAGCAATTGAGTCTCCAATGCTGAAAAATGTCAAACTTGTCATTGACCGCTGTAAATCTGGTATGTTACCTCCCCCAGGTCACACTAATCTGCCCATATGCTGACTCAAAAGACACTCGCAGACAATGTCCTCCTTGGACACGACAGGGATTGCTTCATTGGAGCGGATTTTGTGAATCGAGCATGCTTAGGCCCTAGGAAAAAGCCTGGGAAGACTACCTCAATGTCTCTCCGCAGTGAAGCCAAATTGTCCCCAGAGCCCGAACACCCTCTGTTTCCAATCATCAACTCCACAGCCGATCCGGTGCGGGGCGCGGGGAAAAGGCTGAAGGACACTGTCCACGATATAATCATGCTCCTTGCAGGTCAGAGGGCCAACATGGTTATGGATAACCTCAAGGATGTTGATGGGCACTCTGATGCTGCACTGGCCAAAGTCATGGAGTTTTTCCATGACATAACCACTCGAGGGGCCGAAGATCTGAAACGCTCCCGCTCTTCGGTCGATGATGGATCCTCCACCGGTGATCTTAGCTCAACGGGGATGGGCTATATCTACACTAACATAGCCCTAGCAGTCACAGCCTTGATAAACCTACACTTTGACCGGAAGAGTGAAGAGAAGCCTGTCCTACTGAAGAAAGATACCCACGAGAAGAGGAACCGAACTTCTACCAAGGCCATCCAAAGTCTATCGCAACTACTCGTTATTGGCCCGGTGTCAATGTTCTCATGCCCCACGGATTGAAAGTCCTCAGCCCAATGGCAATCCTGCATGCTGGTTGAATGGGGCGCAATGGTTGTCACCGAACGAGCTCGTAATGCGGCCAACTTTCCAGATCCACCCTGGTCTAACTTTGGTAATACACGTCTACATGTGGTCAACACGCTAGCTCGTATGGGGTTTGGAAACAATGATCCCATGGATTGGAAGAATGTAATGAAGGTTTTCAAGGACGAATTTTCGGCTAAAAAACTTGCGGAGGTCTTATGGGAGGACCTTGTTCTCATGACGGACTATGATGTTCAAAAGGACGCAAGCGTTTTCTGGGCGGATGGCCCATCTTTCAGAATTTCAGAAAACTAGAATGACTTATTTTTCTCTGCTATTGATTTTATATAGTTCTGCTTGCAATTCTCTCTCTTATCTACTAATTTAACAAATAAATTGGGATTACAAAAACAAAAACGTGAAAAGAAAAGCACAAACCACAAGCATGTTCTGAAGACAACTACGGTACCAGTAAAAGAAATGATCTCCAAAGTAGTTGGCCACACTGTTGTATCTGCCTTCTTGGTACTTAACACAGGCATTCTTCAATCCTAAGTTGATTTGTACAGACATACCCAGGCGGGTAAATCGGGAGCTCTGGGAAGATGGCATGGTACAGTGCTTGTATTTATTAGCCTGCCAGATCATCTTGACAACACCGAATTGGTGATCAAAGTTGATGCCAAACTTGTGGTCAGGAAAAATAAAGGGACCTGGCGTAATATCGTAGGAGTCTTCATCCGTGGCCAAAGAGCCATCCTTGGTGTGAGTGGGAAGGAACATGACAAAAGCGTATTTCGAAACATCCTCGTCGTCAGTATGCGGAGGGTTGAAGAATCCATTGGTAGTGAAGGTGAGGTGAGGAGCACAATCGGATTCAGTGAGCTCTTCTCCATATTCCAAAGCGGCCAAGGATGGAAGGCCATGTTCAGCCATGAGTTCACGATTTGAGCCGAAAGGGATCTCCGCCAGCTTTTTGAAATTTCGTCCGACAATCTCGCCAACCCGGCCGGATAGTGAGAAAAGATCATGGTAGGCTTGGGCATTCACGGCCTCAAACGCCTTGATGTATCGTCCGGCAATCTGGTCTTCATCTGAGGATTTCCTCCAACCAATCCCCCACATCTTCCCACCCCATGCACGTTGTTTAGACTTGACGTAGCTGATAAATTTAGTGGTCTTGCGGAGAAAGGTGGACACAAAGTTGAGCTCTTCTCTATCCGCTTGCGTGAGATCGGAGAATTTGGTGAATTCAATGATTGCAATGATTGATTTGGGATCTTGAGGGTCTCGTACGATATTGCAACCGGTCTTCAAGAGGCGGAATGTTTGGACAGTATCACTGGCCATGGCGATCTCTTCTGTTGTTGGGGGTCTAGTGTATTGAAGTTTACCACGAACCAGAGCCGTTGGAATCGTTGGATAGATGTTCAGGTCTTCATATTTCACATTCTGCCAGTAGAATTTTCGGCCAGAAGGACCAATGGCCGATTCCACTAGGGAGGCTCGCTCACGCCGTTCACGTAGGAGTTTGTTCTTGTGTTGAGATCGTTTCCTGGATTCATTTTTTTTTCTTATATGATCAATTCAAGGTCCCCAAATTATTCATACATTGGGATCCCATACATGTCACATATTAGAATTCAAGGAGGGAATCAAGCAGAATCAAAAATTGCATAGTCAGTAAGCCAGCTACACCAGGGTGATCCCAACAAAACTTCTACCGTTTGTTATGGGCCATCCTGAAGGGAGCAATTCCTCAGGGTTGCGGCTTGATGAGTGAG